GACAGACGGTTGAGAGGACGGTTGTTTTTTGTATGGGAGGCCTGTGACCAGCAGTGTGTCGTGAGGATTGGTGCTGGGTCCAATTTTGTTAGTTATTTATACAAATGATTTGCATGTGAAAAGGAGAAATGGTTAGTACGTTTGCAGGTGACATCAAAATTGACGGTATAGTGAACAGTAAAGGTAATCTCAGAATACAATGGATCTTGAAGTGGCAGATGGAGTTTAATTTAGATAAATGAGAGGTATTGCATTTTGGCAAGGGAAATCATAGAATCCCTACAGTGTGGAAACAGGCCCTTCAGCCCAACAAGTCCACACCGGCCCCTGGAGCATCCCACCCAGACCCATCCCCTTATAACCCACCTAAGCTACACATCCCTGAGCACGACGGGCAATTTAGCATGGCCAATCCACCTAACCTGCACATCTTTGGACTATGAGAGGAAACCAGAGCACCCGGAAGAAACCCACGCAGACATGGGGAGAATGTGCAAACTCCACACAGACAGTCACCTGAAGGTGGAATTGAACCCGGGTCCCTGGCGCTGTGAGGCAGCAGTGCTAACCACTGAGCCACTGTGCCACTTATAAACTTATTGGCAAGGTCCTGGGGAGTGTTGCTGAACAAAGAGACCTTGGGATGCAGGTTCATAGTTCTTTGAAGGTAGAGTCAGAGGTAGACAGGGTAGTAAAGGCAGCATTTGGTACACTTGCCTTTATTGGCCAGTGCATTCAGTATAGAAGTTGGGATATTGCAGCTGTATGGGACATTGGTTAGGCCACTTTTGGCATTCTACGTTCAATTCCATTCTCCCTACTATAGGAAAGATGATGTTAAACTTGAAAGGATGCAGAAAAGATTTAAGGATGTTACCAGATTTGGAGGGTTTGAACTATAGAGAAAGGCTGGACGTAGGAGGCTGAGGGGTGACCTTATAAAACTTTATAAAATCATGACAGGCATGTATAGGGCAAATAGCCAAGGCCTCTTACCGAGGGTAGGGGAGTCTATAACTAGAGGGCATAGGGTTAAGGCAAGAGGGGAAAGATTTAAAAAAGGACCTAACTGGCAACTTTTTCATGCAGAGGATGGTGCGTGTATGGAATGAGCTGCCAGAGGAAATGGTGGAGGCTGGTACAATTACAACATTTAAAAGGCATCTGGATGGATACATGAATAGGGAGGGTTTAGAGGGAATGGGCCAAATGAGATTAGATTAACTTAGGATATCTGCTCGGCATGGACGAGTTGGACCAGAGGTTTTGTTTCCGTGCTCTACATCTCATGATTCTATAACAAGTGACTTTATAGACAAGAGACTGAGATTTTCTACTCCATTTAAAACAAAAGGGAGAGTAGAATTTTGCATGAATATGCCATGCTTTTTAACGTTAATATTCTGCAAACTTCAGGATGACTGTTAACAATACCAGGTTTCAATTTGTCAGCAGCTGTGGTATATCCTGGTATCATAATGAAGAGATGGCATGTTTAAACTGCCACATTTGCTAAAACAATCTCCGGCATATGAACAGTCTGAATTTTACAATTTTTGTCACTTTTCTCCATTGTAGGTGTTCAAACCCATGTCCCTGGATCTTCACCAGTAAGTTCTCAGCAACAGCTTTTCATCATCTTTCTGATTTTGTTCTTTTACTATTATGCTAGCATGTATTCTAGTAATAATAATAAAAAAATCTTCTTTAACTGCATGGTTTTCCTTTGGGTAGTTGAAATGGTCTTTCATAAAATTAGGATAAATGGTTGCTAGGACTATACCAATATTTGAAGGGTATCCCTTGCATAAATTAAGGTTGAAAACCACAAACTGTGGCTCAGCTGGCAGCATTCCTGCTTTAGCAGCTGGTTTAAGTCCCCCACATTAGATGGTACTGTTGGAGTGCTGTCTTTTGGTTGGAGGCATTAACCAGAAGCCCAATCTGTCCTCTTGGCTGGATGTAAAACTCCCATGGTTAGGATTAGAATCACTGCCTTTATTAAGAGTAAGGAAGGCCCTGTAAATTTTTATCTCCTCAACCAATGTTGCTAAAGGATATGAATTGTCATTATCACACTGCTGTTTGTAGGTGCTTGCTTTGTGCAAACTGACTTGTGCATTTCCTATAAACTATATAGAGGCAACGCAACCCTTTCTTTCTTGTGGCAAAATGACAGCTCATTATTCTCCCTGTGTTATGGCAGATACAAAATTAATAATTAAATTCTGTAACATAAGCTAAAATAGCACATAAAAAAACAGTATGGGTGAATTATCATAAAATCGAAATTCTAACTCTCACCAGTTTACAAGTCAGTCCCTTACTTTATGGCCAAAGTTTCAGTAAAAAATTCCAAGGGAGTCATATGCATGTTTGAATTGTCCCCCTATATTTACAGGACATAAAAAACTGCATGAAGATACTACTTATAAACAAGATATTATGCTGCATAAAAGCATGCATTGATATAATCATCAGAATTTACATGCTTGCAATTAATTTAGAATTCAACACAAAAATCTAATTCAATGTGACTGTTTTCTCCTAGATTTAAAGGAAATCAAGAGGTTGCACAGGGCATATATTCATGCAATTTTAGATCAGATTTCTTTCAATTGCATAGATTTTTCATGCAGAAAAGGAGAAAAGATTTGAATATTTTCTGATGTCATCCTCACTTCTTCTATTACCTTTCAACAAAATGCATATCTCGAATGAAAACTATTTCTAATTGTGGCCACTCACCACTTTGAATGCAGACACCATGTGAGATCCCAAAGTGACAAGAGAAAGACAACAACTGCACAAAATGTCAACTCACATTTACACATCTGATCTTGTGTCATGGTCACACCTCCCTAAGGAGATAGCGTGACATCATATGGTACAGCCAGAAATGAGAGCGACAGATACACCACAGAATTTAAAGGCGCAAGTCAATTTGATTGACATTAGCAGACAGGTGACCTCAACAAGAGGAGCCTATTTGGCCACTTTGAGATAACTGCTAACATGCGGTCTAACCACAAACTTTCTACCCTTAAGACTTTTGCAAGCCAAAGACACGAACAATCCTTAGTTTGCAATTAATCCAGATTCGTTGCAATTTGTGAATGGGAGTTCTGATTCTCATTGACCTTTGTGTATAAGAGTAATTTGTAATTTCAGTTCTGAAAGTCTGACTAATTTTCAGTCCCGAACAGTGCAAGTTTATTACTTCTAGCTGTTCACCTTAACATCTTGAAACTTTGATTAAATGGTAACTGAGGTGTGGAATAGGATTTTATCCATCTGCACAAGACCTCTCAACCATTTAAAAAACTCTCATCAGTTCGAGTTCCAGGTTGGGTTAACACTTGGATTTGGTTTTGATTTATCTTTGGTTACCTGGAGCGCCAGAAAGTAGAAAGTTCTTCTTCATTTATGCAACATGGTACGTTACCGGTGTTGGAGGTGACTATAGCATAGCCTGTCCCTTCCATTCTGATTGGAAAGTGCCATTTAAAGACATGTATAGTGAGTACAGAATTGTGTATATCAATTGTGCGCACTCATACATCAGACAATGAAATGAAGAAAGGAACATTTTTATTCTCAATGCACCTTTTGTTTTTTTTTTAAAAGCCATACCTTAAAAATATTTGAAATACTTTTGCATCAACATTCCACGTGTACTTTTAGCGTACTTAGAAATATGCTAAAAAGACTAACTCCAGTTTGTTAAATTAGATAATACCGACCTCCATGCAGATTAATAATGGATAACATTATGGAGGTGCTGCTTTTGGATGGGATGTTAAACTGAGTTTTCCCTCCAGGTGGATGTTAAAAGATTTTGTGGCATTATTTAAAACTGACACGTGGGCATTCTCCCCGGAATTCTGACAATTTTCCAATTCTCCGATCAATATCACTGAAACAGACTATAAGGTCATTATCTGATTCCTTCTCAGTTCTTTCTGGAACAACTGTTATACTTCAAGAGCTCTTTGGAATATTCCAAGATTGTGAAAGAGGCTATGTAAACTCAAGTTCCTTCTTTGTTTGTAGTCATATGTAATTTTCTTTTAATTGGATTGGTGATTAATATGACTGCTTGGTTTCTTCATAGGACAATGACAAGCAGTTGTTTTCTTTCTAGTGTTAACTTGGTGTTTGATACTGCATTCTGCTATGTTCTGAATAAAAAGTAAGTTTGCAAAGTAAAGTAACACATTGTAAAGCAAAGATCATTGAAAACTGCTGAGCCTTCAAAACAGTCACTTCCATTAAATGGTACAAAACTTCCAAAACAAAATTAAATGAAACAAGACAAATCCAGATCTGCCATTAAATTCTCCCTTACATATAATAAACTCATTCTCATTTTTCATAATTGTGCATTTTTAAAAAATAACTTTTGACATTGTATCTAACTAGAAGTGACTTTCTTTATTCCCCCATTACTGTGAAAAATCACTTCTCCATCACTGAGCATACTATGCCTTTAATCTATTTGCTCACAGGAGTCAAATTAAGCTAAAGCAATTCATTAATGTTCCAGTATTTTCTAAGTGGTTTATTCTAATTTACCACCTGCCTGGCAAAGTGGGTCAGGATGCACTGGGGCAGAAGTAGAGTGTTCAGTGCCAACATTGGCACAACTCCAAAATGGTCAACTCGGCAGTGAATTAAAACAAATTTAATGAACAAAAAGAACACTTCTCAAACTAATCCAGATATCTTTTATAGTCAAGTTATTCACGTTTAGTATGGAGGGAAATAAAAATTGCACATGCCATTTACCTCAATATTTTGTCAATAAATATCACCTAAGTGATGAATTCCATAAAGAATGGATTTGTAAACATGCCATTTATCAAAATGAATTATAAATGATAAAGTAATTCTTTAATAATTGCTGGCATTGAGATTTACGTGATTGTAATAGAGCATTTGCAACAGTAAAGAAGCCCATATTCCTAGTGTACAGGACATAGCTGTGAATATGTACTTACCAAGTGAATGTCAAACTCGGAATCATCATCATTTTCTATTTCTAGTGTACTTTGCTCCAACGTTAAACAGATTGCACTGTCTTCCAAAGTAACAGTGGAACTAGTCGGGTTTCCCTCCCTGAAATTACAATTTTAACAAACAATTGAAAGGTAGTTTGCTCATAGCAGATAAAATGATGAGGTACAGTTTGAAACTCAATATCGCACAAAGAATTTTTTCCATAATCGATAAAGGTAGCCAACCTGGACATTGAATGATTATCTATGTTAGTTTGCAACAGGGAGGAAATGCATTTAATACTTTTATTCTTTGGTGTCAAGAGTGAGGCCACATTTGTTGCCCATCCCTAATTGTCACTGAAACTCAGTGGCTTGCTGGGCCATTTTAGAGGGTAGTTAAAAATCAACCATAACTGTGGGTCTGGAGCTATATGTAGGCCAGAATGGAGAAAGATGGCAGATTTCCTTCCCTAAAGGACATTAATGAAACCAGTGGGTTTGAATGACAGTCAATGGTAATTTCATGGTTACCATCATGGCGATTATTTTTCAATTCTCCACTTAATGGCGTTCAAATTCTGTCAGCTGCCACAGTGGGCCTTTACTCCACTGCAGTAACCTGGCCTTCTGGATTACTCGTCCAATGATATTACCTCCATGTAGCTGTCTCTCATAATCCCTCCCGTGCTGTTGTTGCACACAGGCTGAAATCCAATAATTTAGATGAATAAACAGGACTTTCACCACAATCGTATCAAGGTGTAAGGGCATTATTTAAAAAGCCTACTCCTCTATTCTGTCATGATTGGGCCCAGAAGAAGGGTTTCTCAATACTGGAGTATTTTGATGTCTATGACATTAACTTATATTGGAATACAGTAAATGCCAACTCCATCTTAGTCAAGACTTTGCCTCTACTATCTCAATTGGTTGAGTGGCTGGCTGGCTTGCGATACAGTGTGACGCCAACAGCATAAGTTCAATTCCTGTACTGGCTGAGGTTACCATGAAGGACCCTCCTTCTCAATGTCTCCCACTGCATTTGGCATGGTGACCCTCAGGTTAAACTGCCAACCATCGTCCCACTCTGATGAGAGAGCCCCCATGTGCTGAAGACAATGGTGTCTTCACTTTTTATTTGAAAAAGCTATTCCAAGTAATCAGGTGAACTTACAAGACTTCTCAAATGATATAAACCACCTATATTCACATTAACCTTTTACAGTATCTATATCATAACTGATCTAACAATTGCACTGAAAAGAAAGTCCAATTTTTTTGCCCAACCATTGTACGTCCTGCTAATTTCACATAGATTTGCTAACACTAGATGGAGGCATTTGTTGTAAAGTGTACAGTTGCCTGCTTTTTAAAAATTTATTGGATGTGTTGCTATGGAAGCTGGTGTTCCAGAAGTTGTATCATGAGTGACTGTAGAAATTAATTCAATGAAGATGGCTTTCTTCACCACACTCTCCCCACCAATTTCATCTCGCTAGGGACTTTCATATCAATGAACATTCCCTTCCACTTCTGTATGACCAACACAAGGATTGCACAGTCGCCCTTTCAATCTGGAGCCTAATTCAATACGATCACAAAACCAAAATTACATCACTTAGTCATTTTGGGAAGCCTCTGACCGTTTTTGAAAAGCCATGAATAGCTTGGGAACACAAGATTTTGTTCTAACCTAGTCTTCTTTATCTCAAAACTGAATGGAGGAGTTCTAAACGCTATTCTTAATTACTCTCTCCAAGTAGAGAATGCTGAAACCCAACAGTTGATCCTTTGTATCGCTGCAGCAGCTGCCTTCGAAACAAACATTGGGAATTTCTCTTTGGTGTTAATACCAAACTAAGGCCAACTTGTGTGTGTAATTGAAAGTCACGAGCAAATGGAAACAATAAGGAATTACCACTGCCAATTGGAAAAGGAGTCACTGTGAGCTAGTAAATGTAACAGTGAGTGGAAAAACGCAGGCAGGGGAATGGTTGAAGCGGTTTGAGGATTAAATCATGTAAAGAAGTTAGTGTATTCATATGTAAAAGATAAATTGAGCTTTTTTGAAAGAAGGATACATATTCTACAGCAACACCCCAGTGCGTGGATTTGTAACAGGTTGTCAATGTACTCAGATACCATATTTCCGAGCTGATCTTTTAAACGAACACAGCTCAGAGTTTGAGAACATGCTTGAATTCACAAGAAAGGCATGAACCTCCTGAAAATAATGTCCAATTTTCCTTCAAATAAGCCGCAGCAATTAAACTCCATAGGTTGACAGAACTGGTTTAAGCACTTATTACAACATTTATACTTTGAAGAACGACCACCTATTTAGAAAATTTAGGTATGACAGCACGTTCTCAACAAATAAAAATTATTTTAAAACGATTTTTTGCCAAAGCTTTTCATTTTACTCATCAAGGCGAGTCATGAGAGATACCAAAGTGGAAAAAATCAATTAAACTGTAAGAGTGTGCTGGTTGGTTGGTAAGTGGACAATGATTTGTAGAGGGACTGTCACGAAGAGTGTACCAGTTAGATGATAACTGACATTTAACTGCCAAGATTTGTTTGAATTTTAAACCAGGCATGTTAACTCTGATCAAGGCCCTGTTTGTCCTATGTGACTCCAGAGCCGAGGCAGTGAGGTTGACTCCTAACTGTATTCTTGTAATGGCTTGCAAGCACCTCTATTTTTATTAGCAATGGTAATAGATACTGGCCTTGCCAGCAATATCCACATTCATGCTTTAGTTGCTCATCACCCGAGCTTCCCAGCTGGCCGATACCACCATTGTGGCAATTCTGGCACTGGGACACTCACATTTTTACTTAAATGATCTGACTTGGGTATTCTGACTGAAACAGGTGCCTAAATGTTATTGTTCCATTGCAGAATTGAGAACGCTCAGCCTGTATATCTTTATAAGAAATGCCACCTAGATGTTGGCAAGTCTGAAGAGTTGCTTAGCAGGGAATGAGGAAACGAACTTGGTCAATAATAAAAAACAGTCCTGCTCAGTAAAAGGTGCTATATAATGCAAGTCTTTTTCACCTTAAAAAAAAATCACAGGAGCTGTAGGAGGAATTTAAGTTAAAAATCCACCTTGACACAATCACAACAGGAGGGGATAAAGCAAACAAGATACCACAGATTTGGCTAGAAAGGCCTTATTGACAGCAGGAAAAAGATTCAGGAACTGTAATAAGTGTGGCATTCTGTCATGGACATTTTTCCATAGGGAATATTATCACTACCTAGCAATTCTGAAAGCTTCCTGCATCCATCTATAGAAAGCAAACAGTGCAATGTTAAAATAGTATTATATAGCTGGATCACTGGCATCTTGAATCAATTAAGTATCCATTTTCACTACTGGCCCCAAACTGGTCATTCCTGTCCCCAATTAAAAATTTGCAATTACAGTCACAATGGGCAGAGAACCGTCCTCATGACTCTAATTGTCTGATCAGCAATGCACCATTTTATGCTCATAGATTGGTTGTTCTTGAAAGTACCAGTGTTGCAATATGAACAAAATGCTTTAAAATCCACTAAAAGATTACAAGAAACAAATACTCCTTTGTTTGAGTTGTAAATGCATTTTGCACCATACTGAGCAAAGAAAATCACTTCTTTGAGATCTAAGTTGAAGTATTGACCCATTTGAGTATTTATAGACTGTAACAAAATAAGTAATTAAAGACCCGTCATTAAAAAGTGTACTGTTTGTTGGAATCATAGAATCCCTACAGCGTAGAAAGAGGCCATTTGGCCCAAGGAGTCTACACCGACTCTCTAAAGAGCATCCCACCCAGACCCACCCCATCCCTTAACCCCACATTTACCATAGCTAAACCACCTAGTCTGTACATCCTTGGACACTGAAGGGCAATTCAGCACAGCCAATTCACCCATCATGCACATCTTTGGACACAAACATGGGAGAACATGCAAACTCCAAAAGGGTGGAATCAAATTTGGATCCCTGGCACTGAGACAACAGTGCTAACCACTGAGTCACCATGCTGCCCGTGCTTTGTTTCAAGATACCAGGAGCAACGCATAACGTAAATAAAGAGAAACTATTTCGATCTTTTGGGGATAACACAGTGTAGAGCTGGAGACGCACACGTCAGGCAGAATCAGAGGTGTAAGAAAGTTGACATTTCGGGTCGGACCCTTCCCAATTCTGAAGAAGGGTGCCGATCTGAAATGTCAACTTTCCTGCTCCTCTGATGCTGCCTGACCTGCTGCGTTCCTCCAGCTCCACACTGCTATCTCTGACTCCAGCATCTGCAGTTCTTACTATCGCTATTTTTAGGGAGGAATTTAAGAGGGGTATCTGAAAATGACAGCTGAATCCATCAAGAGGGAACTGATGATAAACCACTGCGCACAAAGTTAGAGTTTTGGAAATCACTTCTCCAAATCACAACTGATGAGATCAATTATTAACTTTAATATCAAAATTTGTGGATTTTTGTTAATTAACATTAATCGAAGATACAGACCAGAAGTGGACATCTTGAGTTAGGCTACAAATCAACAATAATCTCAGTGAATGGTGAAACAGGCTCAAGGGGTATAGTAGTCTCTTCCTGCTCCTACTCTAACTTTCCCCAATTTATTTACCTGGTAACCAGCAAGTACCTGAACTTCACCCTGTCACATCCATGTAAATACTGAGTCTATTGGAGAGTTAGCAGGGCTCAGACTGCAATGTCCTTTATTCTGCATTTAACTGCGCATAATGGATATTAGAATTTGCTTTCCATTTACCCTTAGCTAATGGTGAGCATCAACAGCTTCACTGCTGACCTTAAACCCAAAAATCTGATCAGCACAAACTGAAATAGTAGTTCAGGAGTCTGTCTCATTGACAGAACCTGGACCCTGAGCTTCTCCCCCCAAGATAAGCAAAACAATTTTGTATTAAACTTTCTTAAACTACAACATACACAAGTTGTACAAAAGCCTTGGATCAAATTTATGTGGCTTTTAGTTAAATGTAGTAGTCCTGGAGAACAACGTGAACAATTTTAAAAGAATACTTTATCATAAAACAAATAGTTACAAAGAATTCAGAACAGAACAGAACTTCAGTTTTCAAACATAATATCTGCAAAACAGTCACGAATGTAAATGATATATTTGAGGTTTACTAGCACTCCAGATTCTCTTTAAAAACACAACAGTACTTATCAGTTTGTTCATAAGCTGCCTCCAACTGCTTTGGTGAACTTAATGTATTTTGGTCACTTCTTAAATTGAATATTCAAGTGTTTGAAATTTACCACTATTGCTGGAAGCCGGTTTTGAGCATGACCTTCAGAAAGAAAAGCTGATAGTACCTATGGGAATCAAACCTTCGTAACCGAGTGGACATAAAACCCTGATGGAGTCAGAACAGAAAGCCTTATTGTTGGTAAAATGTGTTAATTGCCAGTCAGCAACATTCTTAATCTTCCATCATATTTAGGTCTTTATAGTTTTCTTTTCAACCTTCTGTCAAAAATCAATCCTTTGTGATCTGCGGATTTTCTTCTTCATACCATATTACAAATTCAAGTACCTGGGTCTTGGTGAGAGTAAAGTGAATTGAAAATAGATAACATTTACAGTCACCAAAGCAGCAACTATGCCTCTGCACATTGTTTAACAAATGTAATCAATGTCTCTAATTATACGTTTAGTGCTGTAGGTTTTCCCACAGAAACCACTAATTGCAGATCCAGGACAATGATGCTCAGCAGGGTAGGTTCACATTGAGTTCAGACAACTCCAGGTCCTTTAAAAGGGAAGGAAAGAAACATTTGGAGGATATCTTGTTCCATCTGCTGTATGGATTTTAGCTGACCACCTTCTTCATCCCAGCTTTTTGCCTTGATCCTGATCATTTTTTATACCAGTGAGTTCCCAGCTTACCCAAGTCTTCTTCGTATTCATGTTTAAGACTTTGAGAACCCACTTATACCAGGATTGGAGTTGATTTCAGATTGTAGCGTGTAAGTATTTGAGAGTAGGCTAGCCTTTTCTTTGTCCATCACTCTGTTACTTATGACAATGTGTGCTCAATTCTTTGGGTTGTAAGCATGTTTGTTTATTACTGTGATTAGTGCCCAGGCCTCTGTCAACTCCATGCCAATTTAAATACTCATAACTTCACATAAATCACCGAGGACCTCCTTTGTGTTATCCAATAGCCTGAGATGAACAATACTGATTATACTTCTGTGCCTTTAGATACCCCAAACCAAACATTACTGTAACATCTCTCAAAGTGAGTGTAATTACATTCTGAATTAAGGGCACTGTTGTGCAGTGGTTACACTTCAGATAACCATGATTGATAGTGCTGCAATTCTGTTGCTATATTCAAAACTAAATTTCAGAAATGAAAGAATAGGGAGTTAAATCACCCAGAGTCTTTAGTGCTTGATATCAAAGAGATCTATTTTAACTTATGTATCATATTCCCTGTAATAAACATGCAGGACCTGGTTAGTGGATAGTAGGGGTGCTTTGGTGAAAAAAGGGAAACTTTGACAAGCTAACACAAAACATGAGATTGTGAAATTATAATTGTGCACTCCGTCGACAAGTGACCTGACAAAATCATAAATACCCCAGCAGTTCCAGTATTGTTCACAACATCATGTGGCATTTTATGCGTCATTCTGTTAATATTTGCCAATGTACCAAATTAAGTTACAAAGAAAAAAAGCTACAAGGCACATAGTACAGATTGTTGCCAAACTGAACCTGCTATTTTAGAGAGGAGGAGAAAAAAAGCATTGTTAATTCAGAAAGTAAATCCTGCAGAGTCCTAGTTAATGTGTGAAATTATTTTCAATTTCTTACTGAAGTGCAACAATATAGCACAACACCAATAAGTGAAATTTCCAGAAAATGAAAAAGTGTTTAAATTTCACTGCTACCATCAGACTCAAATCTCAAGAGTGACGAGGAATGGCACTGGAAACCAATTACGCAACAAAATGTAATGATCTGTTTCTACTCCCTAATCAGCAAGGGGGAAGAATATCAAAATGTCAGTTACAAATGCTATAACATTTCAGATCAATTTGGTGCTTCAAACCGCATAAAATATTGAACATCTGCTGCAGTATCAGAGCTTACATAAAACTGTCGAAGATTTGCACAGGCACACTGTTGGAAACTTTTTTAAACCTGACATTCGAGGGTTTCATATCATTGCAACATCAGGAAATTCAACAGATTGTAATATACCAAATCAGAATACAATATTCAACAGCAAGCATACTCTACAAAGTAACAGGACTCATACTTGTGTGAAGAATTTGCAGTTCCTTCAGACGGTGTCTGTTCATTCAGAAATAATGATGTCGAGGAAAGGGTTGTCGCTAAGGAGGCTGCTTCACATAACGATGTGGTGCTGGGAAGCAGGTCCGGTCGTCTCCGATATCCTATTGCTACAAAGAGGAAAACAGAAGGTCCACATTAAGGATTTCAAAACATTACGACTATTAAGTATCCAATCAACCTGCTCTTGAATCAATTCAAATTATCTATTTAAATAAGCTCTTGCTATGTTGAGTTCCTCCTCACGTCAGGTGCTCCTTCTGACCCACCCAGACATCCTAAGTTTCCTCTGAATGGCCCCTACCTCTGCAGCCTTTTCCAACCCATACAATCCTTCAATATCTCCGTGATCCTGAGTGTGAGCCCTTGTGCATATCCAATTTCCTTAACTCCACCTTTAGCCATTAAGATGTCAAGCTCTGGGCCTCACCCTCTCCTTCTTTATGATAGTCCTGGCCTGACCACCTCTCATCCCATTACCTCAGCCTGACCTAATCGGTACCTGACCACTGACTGCCCACAAAGTGACCACATCCTGACCTATCATCCCCCTGGATCTACAAACTCACCCACCACATTTCACCACCAACCCACCATTCAACTAGCTTCCCCTGACTTAACCACCTCTCCCAATTGCCTCCTGTCCCGCCACAGCCCAATCACTCAAGCTGCCCACCCAAAATGACCACTACCTGACTAACCACTGACTACCTCTCAACCCAGCACTCCCTGTCCACCTAACTACAACCCCTGACCCAACCATAACACCCATCCACCTACCTACCTAAGCTGCACCTTCCTCAAAACCGATTACAACAGTTAAAGTCTACCTTCAGAATATCATATTAAGTACCTAATATATCGAAGTATCTAAAAAGGGGCTAAATTCCTTTCCTTTCCCCAACTCTACTCCACTCCTAGAAACTCCTAGGGATGCTGCCCTGCACATTTCTTTGCCAGTGGGTATTGGAAGATCCTGGAAGAAATATGAAACAGCATCAAAATCGGTGGAAAATTTTCCAGCAGGAATCTGCTCATCATTGCCGCTGCATGCAAGATCTGGGCCATTGTACAACTATTATAATACTGTGTGAGCAAATCTGAAGCCTATGCCAATGAAGGAGAACAATTGATTGCATGATAGAAAGCACAGAATAATGGCAAACAGTCCTTTTTCAGACTGGAGGGAAATGAACAGAGTTGGTGAACAACTCCAAATGTGAACATTAGCACCATGGCTCTTCATTGAATCACTGCAGTGCAGAAAGAGGCCATTTGGCCCATTGAGTTGGCATATTTAATATTTATTAATTATCTGAGCTCAAATAACTTCAAAGTTGCTCTATGCTATTAACTTCGGAAAAGTCATAAGGATACAGGATTGTAAGAGATCAGGAGGACTGAGACCAGGGAAATAGGCAGATGTATGGTCGATGAAATATAGCACTGAGGTGTGAAGGATCTATCTTGGTAGGAAGAATCTGAAGAGACATACAATTAAAGTGGCTACCACACAGGCAGAAGGTATTCATGTCTCTGCTGGCAAGAGTATCTCAACTAGTTACACTCTCCTGCCTTTTCTCCATAGCCTGAGTGTTTCTCTTTATAGATCAATTTTCTTTTGAAAACTAAAATTATGATTGAATCTGCCTTTAGCACATGCAGGCAGTGCATTCCCTATCCTAACCACAGGCAGTGTAAAAAGGTTTTTCCTCCATGTCACCTCTGGTTATTTGCTTTCTTCTCGCACTTTCCAACAATGCAACCACTTTCTCTCTATGTACACTGCCCAGAGCCCTCATGATTTTGAGCATCTCTATTAAATTCACTTCAAGTCTTCTCTAGAAGAGCACAATGGCACTCTACAACTCAACTAATTCCACTTCCCTTGCTATCCCTGTTGCCCTGCAAATGCTTATTCAATCCTTTTTTGAAAATGATGATCAGATCCACCTCTGTAACAATCTCAGTAGTGTATTCACATACTAACCAATCTATTAAATCATTTTTTTCTCATGTCACCATTGGTTTTTTCGCAGCATTACCTTCAAATCCCATTCTTTGGCTCTCAACCCTTGTATCAATGGGCACAGTTTCACTACATTCACTCTCTCCAAACTTTTTTTGATTCTGAAAATCACAAATCAAATTTCCTTTCATCCTTCTCTGCTGTAATGCAAAAAATCTCAAAATCTTTAGTGACTCCGTTAAAAACTGATGTCACTATGCAGGCCTAGGTACCATTATAAGAATTCTTCTCAGCCACTGCTCTAATGGCTTGACATCTTCCTTAAAGTGCATAATCCAGAACTAATCACAAAGCTCCACATGGAATCTAATAAATGTTTAATCAAGCTTACCAACAACCACTTCACTTTTGGAATCAATTCCTTTATTTTAAAAGCCCAAGATCCCACGTGCTTTTTAACAGTCTTCTCAACCTGACACCAAAGGTTTATATACCCAAAGTCTCTCAGTTCCTGCACCCCTTTAAAATGGTGTCACTTCATACATAGACAAGTGAATGGGCAGCATAGTGGCTCAGTAGTTAGCACCGCTGCCTCACTGTGCCAGGGACCCGGGTTTGATTCCATCATCAGATGACTGTGTGGGTGTCTGTACATTCTCCGCGAGTCTGTGTGGGTTTCCTCCAGGTGCTGTGGTTTCCTCCCACAGTCCAAAGATGTGCAGGTTAGGTGTTTTGGCCACACTAAGTTGCCCATATAGTGTCCAGGGATATGTGGCCTAGGTGGATTAGCCATGGGAAATGCAAGAATACAGGGATAGGGTAGGGGGTGAGTCTAGGTGGGGACGCTCTTCAGAGAGTTGGTGTGGACTCGATGGGCCAATGGCCTGCTTCTATACTGTTGGGATTCTGTGTTGATTATGTGAAAAACAGTCAAACTAACACTGGAGAAGTCTCAACTGGAGTACTGCATCTAATTCTGGGAGTCACTCTTTAGGAAGGACAACAGAGAAAAAGATCTGAGAGAATAGTTTCTGGGAGATGGGAACTAGTTCAAAATCATGACTGCTTTTATAGAATCATAGAATCCCTACAATGCAGATTGAGGGAGCACAGGGAGAACATGCAAACTCTAGACAGTCACCCAAAGTTGGAATCCGAGTCATAGGCAACAGTGAAGCAACAGTGCTAATCACTGAGCCACTGTGCCGCCCCTACTTTGACTAAACAGATAGAGAAATTGTTTCCTGTTGTAGCAAGGTGAGTAACCAACGTACATGGATTGAAAGCAAATAAGCAAGAGTCTAAGGGGCATCATTTGGCAGTGCTGAGTGGAGGAATGGAAGGAATTCTGCAGGCAGTTGAGATGTGGAATATGATGACTGAAAGGGAGTGGAACATATTTTTAAACAACTTTCTAAAGCAAATTAGGTAAAAACGTGAAGGAAAAATTGAGGGTTTCTGGGAAAGAGTGGGACTAATCAGAATTAAAAGGTTACATTTTCTCTCTAATTGTAAAGGTTCATTATGAAACAACATGGGACAGGCTTGTTTTTAAATCCACTGTTCAAACAAGCTTCTTGGAAAACTAGATTCATTTTTGCAAAACAACATCCCAACCTATTCAAGTCCAAAGTCAATAGATACACATCCATACACGTGTACAGCATCTAATCTCACCCACACATCATGGAAATCTTTGATAAGCAGCTCAATTACAAGCTGGTGTTCAAACAGAAAAGATTTACAGACAATTTAAAACGTGACACGTGCTAGAATGCCTCTCTTTCAATGAAAGAAAACAGTTGCCTGAAAATCCAAAATGGGTATTAAAATTACTCATGTGCAACTATTTCATACAGGACTGTAGGAAGTGGGGCAATCCAATGATATACAATGACTAAATTAACAAAGAAAACTTTGATCAAATAACAGAATATTTTTAAGACTAAGCTTTCAATGGTCCCACAAGAACATTTTCAGGTTCTAAATTCTTACTTCAAGGATGATTAAATAATTGACTCTTGCCATGTCATATGGGGTGGTGGGGAGTAAGAGAGGCTGCATTAACTCTAGATCAATTAAGCTCTCTGTAACAATTAATGTCTATCTAAAGACAAACAAAGTTCCATGCACTACCTTCTCCATCAAGACTAAAATAGCTCCTGGTTCCAGACAGCAGCTCGTTCTTTCCCTCAGTTGTATCCTGCATTGTTCCAGAGGATGAAACTTCCTGTCCTATGTATTTTATAGCTGGAATGGAATTACGAGCCTTCTTTGAAGGAGATGGTCGCAATGCTGCGTCAGTGAACAAAAAAAAAAATCAACATCTCATTTGAAAGACAACTTGAAATACATAATTAATTCCTCTTAATAAGACAGCATTGAATACGTTACATTCTTGAAGGACAGACAGCAGTTCTCACTGCTGTCACTCGTTGAGAACGGTAAAGGTAAAGTTGCCTTGCTCCTACTGGACTACAGCGCTGCTGTCTCACTACAGAGTGACAACTAGGTGATGGTTTAAGTTGAGGGTCATCATACCTGTGAGGTGAGGGGAAAGGTCGAAAATGACTGTCCTTCATGGTAACCTCAGCAACTGCAGGAATTGAACCCACACTGTTGGCATCACTCTGCATTGCAAACCAGCCATCCAGCCAACTAAGCTAACCTTAGTTTGCCTTTTCAGTTTAAAGACTTGTAGAAATTCTCCACATTTGTATGACAGGAATTGTTCAGTTGACAAGGCAAGGACAGTTTATAAAGTAAAACCATACAGCAATTGAATATCACCTGGAGACTTCTTGGCAAAAAGTGACTGACTCTGCAATTCACAGAAATAGGAGAATCATGGTAAGGACCCAGTGGTCACCACAACCAGTGTTATACACATGGTGAGGAAAAGGTAGCATTGGCATGAAGAGTACCCACCAAAATAGCGGAATGGCATATCAATAAAAATGGTAGGGTCAAATCAAAGCAGTGTCTCAGGAAGAAGTTTATATTCAGAAAATTATATTTCTATACAGCTCTCTTTCATATTCTAATTCCTCCCCCAATATTTTTGAATCCATTTTTTAGCTTTTCACAATCTGTCCAATTTTTTGACTTACCATTCCCTTCAGAGTTGCACAGTACTTCTTTCAATCTGATGCTATCCTTAACTTTCCTATTTAGCCATGGATGATGCAACCTGTGTAGCACCTTTCTGGGACAAATCTTTCCGAGAGTTATTTAACAGCTCCTTACAAGTCTGCTACTGCACGCCCACTATCTTACCTTTTAACGTAGATGGTCAGTTCACTTTAGTCAACTTAACATTCATACCCTTATAATTACCTTTATTTTTGTTTAAAGCACTAATCTTAGACAATCACGTTCAAAATGAATGTGTAATTCGAGCAAATTACTGTTGAGGTTGTCTACTGGCCCCTGATTATGGAGGTTATTGATTAATCCTGCCTTCCGGAGCAACACCTAGTCTAAAATAGTCTGCTCCCTTGGTGGCTCGAGAAAACATTGCTCTAAGAAGTTATCTTGAATACACCCTACGAATTGACAAAGTTAACCCAGAAAATCAAATCAGAATTCCACAAATTTCACGTAGATTTATAAAGTCCTCCATGAGTATTACTTTTCTCTCACATCCCATTTATTTATTCTAGTATACACTGTCCTGCAACCTATATCCACAAGTGATCTCTCACCGTTCTTTTTAGATTAATAGATAGGACAGATTGAAGCAGTTGCAATTGTTCTCCTTGCACAGGTAAAGGCCAAGTGAAGATCTATTAGAGGTTAGAGTAGTAAGGGAGAAACTGCTCCTGCTTGTAAAAAAGAAAAAGAAATGAGTGGGCACTGAGTAAGTGATTTGCAAAAAAAAAAAGCAAGGTTGATAATAGGGAAAAAAACAAAAAATTCAGCAGGTAGTTAGGATATAGAACACACGGCCTGGAAGTCTGGTGATGGCAGTTTCAATTGAGGCATTCAAGAGGCCATTGGATGATTATTTGGATTAAAATGAAATGTAAGGGTTGGGGTTAAAAGCAGGAGATTGGTAGTAGGTAATGATGCTCATTTGAACAGGCAGTGCAGGCACGATGGGCCGAATGGCCTCCGTCTTGCAAGATACTCGGAAAACGCATGCAAATAAAGTCAGTAGCTATCAACATATTTAAACAAGACAGATTTCAATGAACCATCAAATACTCATTGGTACTCACACAGGGTCTTCTTAAATACTCGACTACTCATGAACTTTAAAAAGCGGTCAGCGTAGAATCCTGGTCTATGGACTGAAACTGAGTCCTATGGAAAGATAAAAGGGAATCATATATGACCCATGTCTCCAAAATATTGTAGAACTGCCCCTGCCAAAGCTTTCAAAGGAACTGACTGCACTGTGCTCCAGTAGATTTTAGTCAGCACCATTTTTCTCGACAACGCTACTGTTTGCAAACACTCATAGTCCCACGAAGGGACATTTTGCCGCAATGTGCAATTTTCCCTTCTTTCTCCTCAGAATAAGTAATTTACTACATGATTTCCGATTTACAGCATCCGCAGTTCTTTCGGTTTCTAATTTATTACACAGTCTGCTTGGTGCCATGCTTCAGGGAATGCGTCAGCCTTCTGATAAAGTCAACTGAAATTGTCAGTTGATGGCTATAAAGCAAGTTGTACCACTAAGGCAGAACTGTCCTGTCCACTTTCTCTCACATTTCACAAGATGCCACCATGCTAGAAACCGGGAATAGGATGGGATAAACTGAATGCTTGCCCTCATCCTCTTATGGTATTGTGTGTTTCAGTAGACCATGGCAATGAATCTTCATATCTAAATAGTTCGACTTTAATGCCTGAACAGTGCCAAGTAATACGTAGCTGAACGACGTGGCATTATGAATTGCTTTGATAATATTCTGAAACAGATTACTTTAATTAGTCAATTTTATACACTGGCTATCAGATATTACAGCACCAATAGTCTTCCAATCTCAATCTGTCAAGCTCAGGAAAATATTTCTCCTTACAGCATTATCATTTGGAACTAGTCCATCTCCTGTTTCTGAATCTCGATCTGCATTAGTTGAATCATGGAGACAGTTCAAAATTCTAGATACAATCTAATAGGTTACAATCTTAGTGATACCAAAAAAGTAAGCAATCCATATTCAATTTACCTTTATTAAAAAGACGCACAACCTTCACTAAAGTCATAGGTATCTACTTGGGACACCAGAATGCAATGTTCAACATTTGTACAACTTCTGCAAATGGGCTATTTTTAACATTGATAGACAATAAGTTTATTTTAAATTGGAAAACATAAACAATGCAGATCAGAATGCATTTTGAGTACATTAAGCTTACATGAAGTAAAAGCAGACAGAGTGCATTATTATATTTCACCTCACAGCATATCCCTCCCAAACAAGGCAGGGGTATTGCTAAAAGATTATAAATGTAATGAGTTACTAATGAATCCAATTGTAAATTCAAAAACTTTTTTTTAAACCCAGCAAGTAACGACAGTGTGGAACTCATTACAACAGGGAGTGGTTGAGGTGACTGCTGTAGATATTTTAAGAGGAAGTTGGATAAACATGAGCGAGAGAGGAAATAGGAGGATATGTTCATAGGGAGACATGAAGTAGGTGAGAGGAGCGTCGTATGCAGTATAGATCAAACAAGCCGAAATGTGCTTTACATTCTAGATAATGCAAGAAGAAATGTAGCACATTTACAGATGTTTATCAAATTCTTGTTTTCATCTTCTTACTATTTTGTACCAAATTACAGAATGAAAATATGCTGAGTGTTTTCTTCAACATTTCCATTCCCTTGAGGGCCACTTTACTTTAGCTGCTGCTGTTAAATAATTACATCTTTTCATTTAACGTTACTTTAGTCATAAAAGTAAATTAAATGTAAACATACTCCATCATAGACGAGTGCTTTCCAGGAGTGTTCCAGCTTCTTAATGAACCTTATGGGGAGAAATAAATTAGTTAAGTATTTGAAAGCAGAAATTAATTCCAATTACAGTTTGTTTTGAATCAGTAAATTGACAGTGTGTTACATCTCTGCTAAATGACATTTGCAAAACTGATTTTTTTATGCACCAGGTGAGAAATGAAGAACGCTAAGGAATGGAACAACCAATTTCAAACTACGGTCTGTTTCAAACTTCCAGTTTATGACTAAACAATAGGTACATATGAGAAACTTAATTTCCCTGGCTCGAGCAATATACTTCTAATTCTGAGGAACACCTCCCTACCCTAATCTAGCCTCTTGAAGTCATTTTCTATGGGGCACAGATGGGTTTCTGAGGTGGAAATAACCAGTGAGCCAGAACTGAACTGAGAGTGGGGAGCGATCTAAAACATTGTCCCAGATTAGGGGATAGTAGTGCTTTGGGAAGAGAAGTATTTTATATGCTGAATCTGAATCAAACGTTTGAAGTCAAAAGAGTACTCAAATCTAGTATCCATCCATTTTCCAAATAAAGCCTTCAAGACAGAAGTAGCTAACTTATGGCTATATTCATAATCCTCACTTACACTGGTATGAAAGGCCTGTCTGGAACAGTGAAGACATCAATTCTCTCAGAAGGAGACTAATTTGAAACATGCAGTCAATACCTGTAAGACTGTAGAATGTCAATAATGGCCATGTAAAGTAGCAGTCTCTCGCCTTTACTATTTTTGGCTGGTATACCACCCATTCTGGAAAAGACAAGAACAATAAGTAATATAAAACAAATAATAGCCAAAAATAACAGGCAATGGGTGTCTAACTCAACCTCAATCATGACCATTCATAGTTAGAATTACTCCCTAGGAATCATCAAGTGTATAATTAATATATTGGGAAGCACTGAACTCTGGATTAAACACACAATCACCAAGGTTTCATTTTGGAATACAGCTCTAGCAATCACTGATATTTCAGCGTATGGGTTGTAAAGGCCAGTCAGGTCGTGTCTTCCATATTCACACAAGGAGGTTCTTGGAGCCTGTTGGGTTACAGCTGACACCTATTGTAGTTTTCTTCATCACTGCCAGAAACTAAATGCAAAGCCTCTTGAACATTTCTTGAACAGTTGTGCGTCAGACCAGAGTAAGTTACCAGATTCTACCATTCATCACCACTTGCGGAGCGATGCACCACGTTTTTAGAGCTTGTCCACATAAACAGTACAAAAACTAACAGTTTCCCTTCAGTGTTGCTGGATCGAAATCCTGGAATTCCCTCTTGAACAGCATTGAGAGTCAACCCACAGCGCATGGATTGCGGTGGTCAAGGCAGCAGCTCACCAACACCTTCTCAAGGGCAACTAGGGACTGGCGATGAATGCTGGCCCAGGCAGCAATGCCAATGTCCCACAAATGACAAAAACATTCCATGTGGTGGCAACGTCTGAGGTCAGAAGCATGTTTTAATCCAATATCCATCCATTTGCCAAGTGAAGACTTCAAGGCAGAAATAGCCAACTTGTGATTACAACATACACAAACTTCACTTTCACTGGTATGAAAGGCCAGTCTCGGATAGGACACTTTTTAAAATCAGCCATGATCTGAATGGACAGAACAGGCATGAGGGGCTGAATGGCTTCTTTTTTTTTTAGTGAACCCAGTGTCAGCACGCAACATTCCCGAATGGATTGTGTTATACAGCGCTTTTAAAGTAAAAAATGTCCAAAGCAACCATGCATAGGAGGAAACAGATACCCAACAGTAATAGAAGACAGTGGAATACCCAGATTTTGAAGAAGGTTTTAATAGGCAGAGTAGTAGCAAGGTGAAAGGGTTTAAGAATGAAGTTTTAGAGAATGACTAAGGGACTAAAGTTTGCTCATTGTTGTTACAGCGAGGGAGGTACATGAGACAGGGTCAAAGGAAATACATAGGTATAAGTGTTAGAAGACAGCAGGGGTGAAGAATATTGCAGAGGTACAAAGGTAAGGACTTTGAATTAAACAACATGAGATAGAAACCAGAGAATGTAACTGATGACATGGAGAATTATCGGGCTAGCAATCTGATAAAGTTAAGAACCTGTGTATGGATGGAACTTGAGAAACCGATAAAGGAGGACTTTGTATCATCACTAGATCCATCACTGATAAGGCTGATGCAGTGAAACTGTAAAATCCCTTTAAACAAAGAGGAGATTTGATCACATCTGTATCTATCAAAGCAACATGGGCCATACCCTCCCTTGTAAAGCAACTTTGAGGTGGTATATTCTGCTGCACATTATAAGATCATTTTAAACATTATCTAAAAACAGAAATAACTACATTCTTAATCAGGTTATCTATTGCCTGTTCCGACGTTACTTCAATCTTGGTAGTTTTTCTCTATCAGTTGGAGACATGTCACAGGAAACACCAGTCTGATGACAGTGGATTATGAGTAGGGCTCCCCATTCACCATATCGGGAAGAAGTGCCCACTTCATGATGCTATATCCATGAGCTCCACACAAATCTAGTTTGCCCATTATCAGTACCTTGTTCTTAATTCTTTAAAAACACTTAAATCCAAAATGTACAAATGTACAACTGGCCTCCCAAACATATATTCACACTTTCAAAAAGGATTTGGATATATAGCTGGAAAAGAAAACATGTAGGGGCTCAAGAATAGTTGGTTACCTGTTCAAGAGGCAAGTGTCTTTTACAGGACTATTTGTGACTCACAGGGAGTGACAGAGTTCCAATCCATTTCTCTCCCCTCCCGTGGCCATTTAAACAACCTCTCCTCTCACCTCTCCAAACCCACCAGGCTCCCACACCAGGGGAATCCTTCTCCCCAGAGGGATCTCTAGCCTCCTGAACACAGACAGTACCCTCCCCTGTCATGATGACCTGCATATCCACTAGCCCTGATCTCTTATTCCCTACCTCCTCTCAGGGATTGACACCAAGAGATCCCAGGCTGAAGCCCTCCTGGCCTCTGCCACTGACATTCCAGCCAGCCTGTCACTCTGACTAGTGGAAATGGGGAAAAAAAAAACGTGATCATGCCATTAAGCCCAGTAGATGTTTAACGTCCCTGGTCTTGCAGGATTCCCCTGCACTGTCTTATCGCAGCAGTTTTTGGGTACTGATTCAATATGTCAGTGAAATTAAACAGAGAAGAGAAAGAATATACCGAATAAAATAACTGCATTTTGATCTATTCACTTAATTTCTAGATACAATTCAAACATAACATAAAATTCAGATTTATGTGGACTCTAACTGAAAACTCTTAAATCTAGCATTATTTTAATCAAGACATTTGTTGAAAGCAAGTCAACTCTTCTATGGAATTGTTTTGATAGGAAATTAGGAGGAAATCTTTGAATAATAGCTAGTAGCACAAGCAAACAAGCATCCATGCCGAAGTTAATCAGTAAAAGTTAATGCAACCCATCTATTCTTCCAACTCAACAATGAGCCTATCATTTAACTCCTTTCGTAATGTCTCCGACGTGTTTAAAAATAAAAAGCAAAATAAAATCAACTGTTTATCACCAGTGTCTGAACTTTTATATTTTATTTGCTCATAACTCTTGTTTGATTTATCATTTAAACAATATCTTGGATTCATCTGAACCATTTTATCCTTGATGCACCTGATAAGACCTCCACTTGAACTTGCTTCTTTTCAGACTTTACATCCTTAGCTCTCTAATTGTTCTGACAGTTCATCATTTTCAGATAGGAATTATTTGTGTTTGCCTTCCAGAACAAGTTCAACACAAGCAGATACTTATTGTGCCGATTGATTTGGAAACAATCAGAAACAGTTAGGCCCTTGATCGACTGAACAATAAATGAGTACGATGATACAATTCATGGAGAAATGGGCAGGCAGTGTAGGTACAGAACAAGCAACTGCTTTGATTGGGAGCTGTCCTTGGCTTTATCTGTTAGAAAGACGCAGTTCCACAAATAAAGTGATAAGGAAAGTTCATGGAGCTGGTAATATTTCTGTATCATGCTTTCTCTGATATGAATTTTGCAATATCTTTCTTAAAAAAATGTGTTGTTCTATGATTGTCCTATCACAGTAACAAATACTGCATAGTGCTATCAGCAGAGCCTCTTGTTGAACATGGTCATTGCTTGGCATTTATGTGGCATGTATGTTACTTGCCAAGTTTCCAGACCTGTTTCGTTGTTTTTGAATTCACAGTTTGTCAACAGGAGCCCTGTTTTGGTGATTGGAATGTTTTGTAGGTTTATCTTCTGCTTTATGGTAACAAAAGGCTTTAACCCAGGCCTGTAGGTCTTTTCCAGCACGTTATGTACTTAGATTGTATTTGAATATTCCAATTTGGAGATTTTAGTGTCATCATCCTATCACTGCAGAACGAAAAATTAAAGATGAGGATACTGATGCAAAGGCACAAGTTCTTACAGATTAAGCAGTATGTGATGCCAATCTCCAAGTCATAGAATGGAAATACAGGAACTGAAAAAAGGTACTAAAGCAAAATTTGCAAGAGTGGTACCAGAACTGAGTGTTACAATGATCATGAAGGACCAAACAAGCTGGGATTTTCTTTTCCCTCTGAAAAAAGAGCAGATTTGACAGAAAAACTAGAAGAAAATGTTCCCACTTATGTTGGAGTCCAAAAGTGAGGGCCAGAATTAGAAGATAGTCGTGAATAAATCCAAGAATTCAGGAGAAATTTTACCAAGCGGGTGGTAAGTGGAACATATGCAGTGGTTAACTACATCGATGCACTGAAAAGGAAGTAGATAAATGACATGAGGGAGAAAGACAGAAAGATACGCTGATAGAGCGAGACCAAAAAAAGAAGTCGGAAGCACCTTTTAAAGAACAAGTGCAGTTTCTGTGCTGTAAATACTACGCAGTTACTTACTCACAAAAAACAAATTTCACAATTCTACGTTGCTCCTGTAGAGGACTGATCTCAAATCATCATACCAACTAACTGCAGTGATAGGATGATGACACTAAAATCTCCAAATTGGAATATTCAAATACAATCTAAGTACATAACGTGCTGGAAAAGACCTACAGGCCTGGGTTAAAGCCTTTTGTTACCATAAAGCAGAAGATAAACCTACAAAACATTCCAATCACCAAAACAGGGCTCCTGTTGACAAACTGTGAATTCAAAAACAACGAAACAGGTCTGGAAACTTGGCAAGTAACATACATGCCACATAAATGCCAAGCAATGACCATGTTCAACAAGAGGCAGAGGCAATCTCACCACCATCGCTTGACATTCAATGCATTACCAATACTAATCGCTCATTATCAACGTCCTGGGGCGTTCCATTAATAATTCAACAGCTTCATGGTTACTATTATAAATTAAAAACTATTTCCTGATTACAAAATATCAAATTCTGAAATTGCCAAGGTGGGATTTGAACAGAGTACCAGTGGGTAATGACTAGCTCAGTAGCATAGCCATTAAACCCCCAACACCTGTATTCCAACACAAAGCAACATGGTTAAACTACAAGCCTGGGACTCCATTGCTAACACAGTAAACAAACAGTTTCACCAAGGAGAACATTAGCCAAGTATAGAAGAGGATACTGACGGGACTTACATGTCATCTGTTCCAACAGATTCTCCCGATTTGGTTGCACCTTGTATAGATTCTAAGGCTGTGGAATACAAGACCTTCTGCCCACCCGGGCGTTTCCCATCTGAGGCAGTCTGGAGGTTTTCTGCTTCTTTTTCTCTCTCTTTAATGGCCAGGTCCAAATTATGAATTCCCAACAGCAGACTATAGTCCATGATTTTGAAACTTTCCAATACCTGACAGCATAAAAATGCCCAGTTATCATTAAGCTGTAGAAAGAATCAATAGCAATTTCACATTTGGTATAATTAACTGAGTTACACAAGTTTGCAATCACTGGGTTAGTGGCATTCAGATTGGATCCAAATATTTGAGATTCAATTCCTAAAGAGAAAGTGACAACATAAGAACACAACATATCTCCTTTAGGACATTTCTTAAATCCTCTGTCCTCGAGCTAACTTTCTGGTCACCTCTCCCAAATGAGTTAAATTTTGCCGGAATTTTATTGTTACCTATTTTCAATACGGGCTATGGCCCTTTTGAAATATTTCAATAAATTCAATTTAAATGTTGACAGCTGGCAATCAACAATCCTTCACAGTCAGATGAAGGGAATATCTAATTAATTTTATTCATCTACAATGGGTTCCTGATCTCAACTATGGAGGGGCAGCCAACAATTAAACTGTTCTCAGGATAAAAGTGTACTCAATGACTACCATGGATAAAGTGTCCTTAACGCTTCTTCGTTAAATATTGTCATTTTGCAAATAAACAAAAATCTTTTAAAAAATCTCTTTACAAAGAAAAATCCAATTTCAGCTGTGAAAATATTGCTAGTGTTGTTTCATCACTGTAAATAACATCACCTGCACCTTTAAACCTCAATTTCTTTTTCAAAAATAGTCACAAAAGTCACATATTCTGTAACCCATTTCACTTTCCGGCTTTGCCCAACCGTTTTGTTTGGAGCAGGTTCTCCACTTTGGAATAGCATCTTCTCCATTCCCAGAGTTGGGATTGTTAAACTTAGCTTTCCATCCCAATGGTTTTACTGTTGGGATGCACTTCCTCTCACGGATGCTGGCAATAACATGCCAGACTTCTTTGTCTAACTTAGGTGAATACTCTAAGCCCTGGTATTGATCAGCAGAATTGGGGTCACAATCCCCAATATTCATGTGTTGTCTCTAACGTGCAGTACTCAGAACGGAGTGCAGGCCACAGACGCAGTATAGACACAGCCCGAGTTAATTAATTTATATTCCCTTGAATATACAAGTTTAAGGGGTGATCTGACCAAGTTGTTTAAAATGTCAAAATAGATTGGCAGGGCAGGTAGATTTGTGTCATAGATCAGCCATGATCTGACGGAATGGCTGAACCCACTTGATGGGCTAAATGGCCTCAAGAGGTTTGATGATCTCCCAAAGCCTGGGCTCTGTTGCTGTCTCCCAGACATGGGTAGGTAGTAGATAAATCAGAAGCCAACAAGAAGCTAAAGAGAAGCAATCAGAAATTACTGACAGCAAAAGCAATGATACATTACAACTGTGATTACAAATTCTCAAAAGTATTTCATTGGTTATAAAGCACTGTGACACTGAGGATGTCAAAGATATTATATAAATGATTTTTTAAAATTTTATAGCAGGAATGGCTTTAAGGAGGGAGTGTAGGGCCAGGGTAAAAGGAGCAGAAAGATGGAAAATGAAAAGCAGCTATGATGGAAGGACAATGAGTGGGTTTGCTGTCAAGTTATACAACTTTTTAAATTTGAGAGTTCTTGTAAAACAAATGTTCCAAAGTGGCATTCGTCCTTAAACTTTGTTCAAACTTGATTGATTGTTCTTTGAACATTTTTGCAAGTCACATTTGAACAGGCAAGCAGTGATTTTCAGAAAAACAAACTTAAAAATACTCTTCTACTCCCGTCTGCCCCCACTCCTTTTCATTTCAGTTCATTTTGCAGGCAAACTCTGTAACGAAATCCATCATTCAGAAAGGTCACTAAGAATATACTATTCACAAACCTATGTACTAACATTTACACGATTCCTTTTCAAATCTACAAATTTTTAAATATATCAGGCATTCGGGGTGCTTAAGTGGGATGAATGGCAGAAAAGTTTTGCATTCTCCTCCCATTTGGCATGAGAGAAACAACCACTTGCATTGTACAGCACACTTCACAACACCCAGATGGTTAAAGGGCTTTACAGTCAAATAAAATCACTATTGCGATACAGGAGGTTCTCTAAAACACATTTGTGTTGAGTTCCTAAAGAGGGTTTGCCAACCTTCCAGGCTTGCCGGAGCCAAAAATTCAAGCTTAATCTCCTAAAATCTCAGGAATGTGTTCTTTTTAAAATATTGATTATATTTCTTTCCATTTTCTTTCAACACTTTTGTCTCTTAGTTCAAAAAACACGAGCTGGGTAGAAGAACAGACTGTTCGACATCAAGGATCACCCTGCTGAATCATGAAACATGCTCCCTTTCCTGTGCGAGAGAATAGGCTCCTTGACTGGGCAATGGGAGGAGTGTGAAGGAAACTCATGTGGCAAACCTCTGGGACTACATCCAATTGGAATGCAAGGTCTACAAATGCAGATCGCAATTTCAAGTGAAGGATTAAGGAGATGGGAGTTAATTGTAATGACTTTTACCACACTGGTTTGGGTGTCAATGAGTCTCAAGCTGGCTGTTATTATACCATGAGATAACAAAGTGTAGAGCTGGATGAACACAGCAGGCCAAGCAGCAGAGGAGCAGGAAAGCTGACGTTTCGGGCCTAGACCCTTCTTCAGAAATAGGGGAGGGGAAGGGGATTCTGAAATAAACAGGGAGAGAGGGGGAGGCAGATAGAAGATGGATAAAAGGAGAAGATAGGTAGAGAGGAGACAGACAGGCGGGGGTGGAACCAGTAAAGGTGAGTGTAGGTGGGGAGTTAGGGAGGGGATAGGTCAGTCCAGGGAGGACGGACAGGTCAAGGGGGCTGGATGAGGCTAGTAGGTAGGAGATGGGGGTGGGGCTTGAGGTGGTCTCCAGCATCTGCAGTTCCTACTATCTGTTATTATACCATGCTTAGTTTCCTTTCCTTGCCAATGGGACAGAGTTAAAACCAGCCCCTTGAGTACATAGGAGACACTGAAAAACAGATACCCTCTCTGGATAGGTTTTTCAAGATCGTACAGCAGAAACATAGCATTTGCAATCAACTACTGTCAAAGTTAGACAATGCTATGCTTTCTTCCTCTCATGTCTATTTTTTAAAAACTTATTATTTTTAGATTGAGGGAGGGTGGTTCCTTTTAATTTGGAAATCTGGAGAGGAATAGATACATTCCTAGTCTAACTAGAAGAATCTTGCAGTAATTCAGTAGGCAAGCAGTATTTTGGCTTTTACTGCAAAAGGATTCGAGTAGAGGAGCAAAGAAGTCTCGCTTCAATTGTGTAGAGCACAGGTGAGATGACACCTGGAGTGTTGTGCGCGCAGTTCTGGTACTCCTTGCTTAAGTAAGGATAAACTGGTGACAGAGGGAGTGCACAGGAGGTTCACCAGATTGATTCTTGGGATGGTAGGACTTTCCTGGGTTGGGGGGGGAATTGAGGAGACTGTTTGCATATTCATGAGAGTTTAAAAGAATGAGAGGTGATCTTTCTGTCCACCCCTTTAAAAATTTTATAAGTTTCTAAGTAAATGCAAGAAAAGATACGGTTTAGAACCATAAATAAACAGTTTTAGAATAAAAGGCAAACTATTTATGACTGAGAAACTTCTGCACTCAGAAAATGGTGAATCTTTGGATTACTTTATCAGGGGGCTGTGGAAAAGCATCAAGCAGGTTCAAAACAGATTAAAATATTTCTTGTTAGTAATGGCAAAAAGGATATGGGGATTGCACAGGACTACGCCGTTGACATAGACGATCAATCACAATTTGGAATGGGGAAGCAGGTGCAAGGGTTTGAATGGCCTACTCCTGCTGCTCTATTCTTATGAAGTTAGTAATAGCAAGTTTATTGCATTACTCCAACTAACATCAGATTACAGAATATGATATACGTTACTGTAGAGGATGTTACCAATATATTGGCATGACATCTGTCCCCCAACAGCTTCTACCTCATATTGTCCAGGTATTCACAGCATCACCACAGTGGATGGTGCCTAGTGCAAGTTCTTTCACAGCTATATCAAATGGCAACACAGTCAGCATCTGCCATCATTAATCCAATGGAAGTATCAAGAATTTCTGGTGTGCTCGTATGTACAAAACAACATGGAAATCAAGCTAAATAAAAACCAAAAGAATTGCGGATGCCATGAATCAGGAACAAAAACAAAGTTGCTGGAAAAGCTCAGTAGGTCTGGCAGCATCTGTGAAGGAAAAAAAACAGAGTTAACATTTCGGGTCCGGTGACCCTGCCTCAGAACTCCTCAGAAAGATGGAAATCAAGCTGTTTGTTTATCGGTTGAGGTTGCCAAAATTTCAAGTAAAAAAGAAAAAAATCACTGAATAGACTGAAAAACTTCCACTCTTAAGTTTCACTGTAAAAATCCTTGAGAAATGAATGCCTTACTCAGTTAGGAGTAGCCTGTTCTTAACCACATATATACTGCTACTAAACATTCTCATTGATTCTGAGAAAGTAATTTTGTTTGTTAAAGTAAAATTTCTCACAATGGAAAAAATTTGAAATCTTAAGAAGTTTGCTTGCAAAAGTTTGATATTTCAGTTTCCACCAATACGTATGTCCTAATCATTAATTTTGCTATTTGTTAAAGTTTAAGAGCAAATGCCAGTAGCTTTTACTTCCGGATTTGAAGTATTTTCAGAGGCAGCCACTGTGATTGGCAGCTTACTGTACTTGATGACTTTACTTTCCCCTATGACATCACTGCACATAGATACTTACAGATTCCCTTTACTTGCTGCCACATTCAACCTGATGTTGGGAAAAGTTAAATGCACCCCAGGTCACTAGATCCTTGTGAACAACTTTTTGTTGCCCGCCCCACCCCCACAATGGCTGATCCCAAATACAGGGCCAACGTATCTAATTAAGGTCAAGCATTGTTCAGAATGTGAATGATAAAATCTCTTTATATTTCTATCCAATTCATTCTTGTCCCAAGGTGCACAAAACTTCAACAATAAAGAATAACACTAATTTTTGTGCCATACATACCCGACAATCCCTCTGAAGTGTTTTAATCAATGCATTATAAGTCTCAGCATCAAAAAATAGGCCATCTGGTGTATCTTGTATAAAGTCCAAGTCTTTGAATGTGGGTATATCTTTTTCTCTCTCTTTTCTGGATGCCCTCCGTTTATAAGTTGAGCCCTTCAAATCGTACTTGTGATGCATCCGGACAGAGCGTGGCAACACATTGTTCATAACCACAATTCTTATGTTAGTACCTCCTGACTGCATGCAGTACAAGCCATAAAATTTTGGCAGAAGTGTCCGAGGATTCTGGTTTAAATTCTGCGAAGAAAAAGTACATTGCTTAAAGATTTTCTTTTATAAGAACTATGTGATATACTCAAACAATTGCAGGAGCAATCCTAATTGTGCATAGTGATCAATGGCAATTTCAGTATTCATATAGCAGGCAACGAAACGGATACAGTTGATTTTAATTAAGTACAGACATGGAACTTGACAAAGTTTATTATAGATTAGGCCTAAATATAATCCCAAGAACAAGGAAGGTACATTAGCTTTGAAGCGGTCTTGTTGACTAATTAAAACTGGATTCCTGACCTGCAGGAAAATAATTCAGATTGAGCCTCTTAGCAAATGTACAGTTGTACGGATTATATGTTAACCACATTGTTAAGTATCACATCAGTCTTCTCTAAATCCCTTTCAAGCTTTTCTCTGGAATTGAATTTAGCTTAGTAATTGCACACTGCTGTTGAATGCATTTCCTCTAACATTTCACTCAACATCGCCAGACTCAAAGATCTTTTGTCTCTTTATCTGTAAATTATTAATCGAGTAACAAGGATTGAAATCTATTCCCCGTCTCAGCCAGAAAGACAGACTTGTAATGTAACATGTGGCTCGCAAAAATCCTCAAATGAGTCAAATGCAATGACATGCTTCGTTGAAGTGTTGTAACATTTCTATAGAATAAACCTGTCAACCAGTATGTGCACTGTTAAGCATGAATGACCAGTTAATCAGGGACACAGAAATACAATTCTTGTGAAAGGAAAATGCCAATGGATTTAAAACAGAGAGCAAACTCAGACACAAAGATCTAAATATTTCAGGCTGAATCCTCATTCTGAACTAGATGCATGCACCTGAGCTGACGGATGGCACTTACATTAGGAGTGGAAAAGTGACCAAAACCTTGTGGTACCAGTGATCATCTGAGCCACTGAAAATGCAGCTTTGGACTTTTGGCAAAGGACTGGATCATGACACTTTATGGATATTTCCCACAAGAGCAAGGGCAAAGCAGAAAACTTGTAGGAAAAAGAAAGAATGTTAGATTTATGATACCAAAACGAATATGTCCCAATTACGCAATCTTAAAATGTGAATGCACAGATAATCCCAGGTGAAAAATGCATATTGTAAAAGGAAATACACAGCATGTTTCTAAATTATCCACAGCTTTGGAGTCACCTCAACAGGACAGAGGTCCTTATTGAGAAGGAAAATTAGGTTTAATGAAGTTTTTGTTTGAGTTTAATATCAGGCATGAATTTAATCCATTCAATATTCTCCTGCCCATTTCTTTCCTCAAAGGAGAGGAAAAAGGAAGTGGTCTTGTATGTTCTAGAACTGTGGACAGCTACTACCCTCAGGTGTGAGGTGAAGTTTGGTGAAGCTGTCATTACGTGGAGACTACAGAAACCAGGAATCGTCACCTTAGAGCAGGAGAAGGTTATGAGGAGATTTGGTCAAGATGCTCAATGAGGGATTACGACAGAATGAATTAAGAGAAACCGTTTCCATTATCAGGAGGCTCCGCAACTACAGGATACAATGAAGATAATTGGCAGAAAAACTAGAGATGAGGAGAATTTTTTATTCTATCTAATTGAATTATGATCATCTGTAATGCACTAGACAAAGAGCTGTTAGAATCAGATTCAACTAACTTTCAAAAGAGAATTGGATAGATTCTTGAAATAGAAAGTTTGGAGGCCAATGAGGAAAGGATTGTGAAGAGGAGAGAACCAAATGGACAGCTCTTTCAAATTGGCAGGACAGGTATGAGGAGGTGAATGACCAGTTCTTGTGCTGATAATGCACATAAACACAATTCATAAAATGAAATGCAAGAGTCATTATGGATGTAATGCCAGGTGTTTTCATAACATTTGCTAGCAAGGCTACATAGCCATGTGTGAACTGTGCTCGAACTGAGTTGTTGTACTGTACTTAAAGTCAGTAGCTCAATATACTCAAAGACAACAACCACAATTTATCTTTGTAAAAAAACTTTTACTTATTTGGCATCTATCCCTTCTCCAAGCAAAAGACACACCACGTGACAGTCAACAGGCAATATTCAGAATAGAGTACATGTATAATACAAAGTTTTAGAATGTTTGCAAAAGGTACCATTCATCACAATGTTCTGTCTGCAAACCGTTTTGCAAGCAAGCCTCTTTTGGTGCAATATCCTATACAAAATGTCAGCTCCTTAAATCTTATGGTTTTTTTGGCTGTCAGTTTCATAGCGTTTCAGCAGAAGGTTTCTCCCTGCATAATGACACCTCTCCTGTCTGATTCTAGCCCCTTCTACTACTTTTCACTGCCAAGGTCTCTCTGGCCATTTTAAAAAGCCCACTGTGCACCTAGACAAGCACGGTCGGTCCTAGCTGCCCTGCATGGTTCTCGACGTTTGTCCGGAACATGGTAGAGATAGGAAATATTATGTCTCGTTTTGTGGGCAGGGACCTGGAGGTTCTGGGGGATGGGATGGGGTGATGCAGAGGAGGGACTTCCTCCTCCAGAGCTGTCAGTGGAGGCCACAACACCAGGACTATGCCAGCTGGTTGGAAGTTGTTACCTGGGTCAATCTCAGCTGTATGAAGGAATGCACAGCAACATAGGAAGAGGGTCAGTGACATCCTCCACTGCGCCAGTGTAAATGGCACCATCATCTCTGCTGCGCTCAGTACCTCTGCTACTGTGCCCACAAGGCCAATACTCTACTATTCTTACTAATAACTGTAACATCTTCCCCCACTCGCTTTTACCAATCCCAATCCTGCATGCCCTCTGTGCTGCCAACTTACTCGCTTGAGACACTTTCCCACCTGCACCAGCACATACTGCTGTGCCACCCACACTCCTCTCTCTTAACACCTGGAGTCAGACAGAGAGGGAGGCAGGAGAAGAATAACCCACAAGGCAGAAGGAGTTAACACAGGTGGTGGGCTGCCTGACGTTCAGCTCCTCACCTCTTACAAAGAGGGGATCTTGACTCTGATCTCACCAAGTGGCTGACTGACTCTGTCCGTGCCTCTGGACTGGTATCGGAGGCTGCACTTGACTTGACCGAGGAGTGCTGAGAACCAAGATAAGCTTTCTGGCTTTGCATCTAAATGAAACAACAGGGCAGTGCAACAGCACTCTTACCCTGAGACCTCCGGCTAAGGGACAAGGTGCAAAAAGGCAAGGGAGGACAAGGATGCAGTGAGCATCCAGGTAGGCTCAAAGCGAGTGAGCGCAAAGACAGCAAGTGAACGTCCTTGAGATGCAACCTTGTCCATCCTTAGCTGTGTGCATGTCCCTGATCACAAAGTGTCCTTGCTGCAGCATTACAATGATAAGCCATTGCTCCCCAAGATGCAGCGCTGAAGTGTGAAAACAGACTATAAGTGAATCATAGATGTGCCACAAGGGTTCTTAGAGGCTGCTACATACCAGATACCAATGTCCTTGCATGTGGGCTGCGGTGGCTGGTGACCATGCAGTGTACCAACATAAACATCCTTTGGTACAGTGATCTGAAGCTGCCAAGCACCTGTTCTGACTTCTAGGGCAAGAATTCTTACCACCTCGTTTGCTTCCAGTGAATGGTTCAAATGAAAGCTGTATATGAAGCA